GTGTCTTCGTGTGCAGTGGATGCGGCCGTGTCTGCCGTTCTATAATTGGGCTTTTTAGCCACGAGAGAAAGTGTTTTGTCGCAATTTCGCTAGTCATGGACATGGTCCGACGACCGCCTACTACTACATTCATTTGACACCGCGTTACTTGGTACTAACAAACATTCCTGCAATATTCGCACAAAAGCGACATAACTAATGGAACAAACAGAAAAATAACAGCGGATAATACACTCTGTTTAAGCAAAAGCATAACAAATGTAAGCTTAATAATCACGATAAAGGTCACCTAAATATAACAATTACGTTTATCCTCACTCTGATGAAAGTCCGACACTGCATCTCTGTTGTCGTTTCCCAGAGTTTGATCCCGAGGCACCTTGTATTTATCAACAAATGGTCACAAATGTTCTCCTGTCACTCTGTCCACATTTTCTGTTCACTGATAACTCATTTGATTTCTGGTTTGATTCTAAAGAGAGCTTCGCTAAATCGTTTGATTCTTTCGCTATTTTTTAAAGTTCCCGAAACGACCGGCTCTAAATATACGCTCATTACACACGCCATCCTTTAGAGTGGGTCTACCGCGAACGGTATGTGGGTCTGTATGTTTGAGCGTAGAAAAGATGACACAAACTGTTAACACATTCAACATATCCGCCATCTTTGAAATCGTGGAAAAAAGGTTGCGCCTTTATAATTACGTGTCTGCGGTATTCCTCATTGCACGTGATGGAGTTTTGTGGAGAAACCCGATGGTCGGTTGCCCGACTAATTAAGATAACTTTAAAAATTCAACTAGGGATATGATGTAACCGATGGGAAACGTCAGGTCAAAGAAAACAATAGCAACACTTCTTTTGTATCAAAATAGGCAATTAGTCGAGTTAAAATACTTTCAGATGTTATCGCACAAACCATCTCGCACATTTACCTTAGTGTCTTCACTTTTGTTTTTCTGAAAACACTGCAGCAATCTTGATTTGTTATCACAACTGAAACGAGTCGTGAATGGAAACAAATCCATAATATATCTCATTGTCTAAGTAAACTTTCCTCGTATTTATCTTATGCTAAGTGCACAGTCGAATAAACAATTGAGTATTGTCATAGCTGAGTTCTTATTTGCCAAGCAATTGCTTCCCAAACCATTCAATGTTTTGTGATCTACCTGCATCCTGGAGCTTCACTGGGTTTTCGTGCAAGAGGAAATTCTAGATTTAACTTCTGTTACTTATTACATCAACTTTAACAGTTTGTGGCCAGCTAGAACTCAAGATCGTCATGATTCGACGACAGCGGTATCAAGTTACCGAACGGTAAGTGTAATTGACAACTCGTTCAGTCTTACTGTAAGGGTAGAGCTTTTACGAGAACGGTCTAAATCAGCCTATAACGTTTGTATTTTAAATCGTGTTTTTTGCTTTTCATCTGGGAGGTATCTTTTGATATTTTTCCAGTATTTTACGCTTTACCATACCTTCTTCATTTTGAAGGTTACAACTGGGATATGACAAATAATAAGGACGCCCCGATTTCATAAATTAAACTATCATGCACGATTCACACTAGAATGGAGCTGAGATTAAGCGTTTGTCAAATCTTGAACCTAAAGTAATTCAGAAATATTGAGGAAAATTTGCAACACTTGTGTTGAAGGTACGGTTACATCATCGTTCCCCTCTATTAACCATGGTTTAACTTTCTTTGCCACCATACAACGAAAATGATCTTCTCTGAAAACGTCTCTTACATTTTTGGAGCTTCATCTGGTGATAAAAAGAATTTATGCGTAGGTATCTGCTCTTTTCTCGAGACCTTGGTACAGATTTTTAGTTTAATTTGTTTGTTTAGTTAAGAGGACGAAAGAACAACTTAATTTCTAGCTCGGAAGTAAGTATGAAAGTCGCAGATTAGTTGAAGAAGAAAAGAGAGATTCTCCCAATTGTTGACATTCATCGCTTCAAATTCCTCTGCGTTAAATTCTTCACTGCCTTTGTATATATGTATACAAACGATGTATCATGCTGTCGACCTGTCTGTTTCGATGCTCAGCACGAATCACCTGATTATTCGGCAGCAAATGTGACCAGGGGCGATAGATTCTCCTGGAGATTTTAGCGGTTAAAGATGTGGTCCAATGAGTGGGGAAATACAGAAGTAACGACTTAAGGGTGAATACGTCATTTTAGAAAATATTATTCTTGGAGATCAACAATATGAATACGGTATACCATAATAAGTTGTTTTGTTTGCCCCCTTTCCGGCTCAAAAGCTCAACTCGTCTGACCAGTCTGACCAGTCTGACCAGTCGGTCTCTCTTGCAAGTCAATTGAAACTAAATCCCTCAAGAAATAAACTATAAAGCCACAGAAGAGCAATACTGGTGTTCATCCCTGTTTCAATTTCTGTTACTCTCTCAATTTAATTTCAACACTAGTCGAAATAGGATGAGCTAACACAGGAAGTAAAAGCCAGCTATTGATAGATTTAACAAGACCTATCAAATAGTACTTGGATGTTTAGAAAATAAAACAAATACTTGACGTAGAATCAGTCACTTTATATGACAATTTGGTAAAAAAGTTGTCATTTTCCGTCCGACTTCCATATATCAACTAGTGTTATGAGGTCAAAGTACTATTTATATCAGCGAGGCTAACTGTCAACTAAATTACAGTGTACCCGATCCTCGTTCTTCAAGGGTTGCCGACATCTGAGTGGGCTGGGTATAGTGTAATTTGGTTGTATCAACTAAGGTGAAATTGTAAATTAGCCACCGTAAAGAGTTAAAAAGCTGACGTTTCGAGCGTTATCGCTTCTTCAGAGCGATTCCGACGCAGCACTACAGTTTCTTTAGAAACTTACCTATTTGGGTATACTGTAATTGCAGTTGATTGTAAATGTATTTATCATGGGCTACGTAACCCTTTCTTTGGGGTGTTGCATGGTATGTTGTTACAATTGCTTCATTGGCCATGGGCTATATATTCGAGCTGTTGTCATTTATATTCATTCGCGTCTTACGACCGTTCCCACGCCATCAAAATTAAAAACCCAGTGACTAGGAATTGCCAGTTTCTCTTAGAAGTGGTTTTTTGCATACACTAACATAGTTTAGATTGTTTTGTAGGGTGGTTTTTCTTGCTTTATTTTTTACATTTCCGAATTTTCATTCCTTTGATGTATCATTCCTATCAATTTTGTTGATGAAGGCATAATAAAGAGGGTCGCATACGGCTCGTGTTGACACACCCTAATTATGGTTACTTAATGAATGATGAATGTTATATATTCGTTGGAGCTGGGTTGCGAAGTAGAATATAATTACTAAGAATCTCTCGATTGCAATGAACAGAATTCCATTTAAAAAAATTACTATTTTCAATTTCTATCCTTACTTATTTTTGAAGATTTTAGAGGCTTGTAATCCTCTTGGGTTTTTCAGTATGAAAGGGAAAGAGACTCCCCTCGGGAATTATAGAATAAAGCCGGAGTAAAATTAATCAACGGGTGTTGTTGTAGCTTTAATTTATTCCAAAAAGAACCACTTTGTATTTTCGATACAGAGAGGGTGGACAGTTGAGAGGCCAGGGAGTTAGTCTTTTTTGTGTGGAGACATAACAATAACTTCGCTTGAAAAACTAATTTACATCAGCAAAACATAATTTTCCGACGTAGTCTTTCACAGAATACTCATACTCTCTAAATAACTTTACTCAAACTCAAGATAATAAGCACTGTTTTGCCCTTAAAATACCTTAACGGAGTCACAAATACCTACCATGGGTGTAAATTGTTACGAAAGCGACCAGCACCCATCCCCGTAGTTGACGATGTTTGCATTTTACGTCCCCTGTAAATACTAATTACTCTGGATAACTAATTTGTGCAAAACGCGGATCACGAATGCCATTTTGTAAACAGTCTTTGTTGTGACTACATCTCGTCATTAATACGTCACACTCTGTACTCATGCAAATTTCTGCAGTCAGCCACTCAGCGCGTCACTGACGTTCTCACTGATAAACACAGTGCGCCATCCGCTGAGGTAACCCTCAGGGTACACAGTTCTAATCGAAACGCGGACAATCTGCAATCAACAACAAATTAAACCGGTTTAACTTAAGTCACAGGTACGTGCTTCATTCTTATGCAAAACAACAAAACGGAATTTGTTGTCCCTAGCGTGAAGTATCTTTATTATGTGCGGTGGATTGTGCATAATTACAAACTAATGACCATCACAGAAAGATTCGTTTAAGAAGTCATTTAACGAGTGTATGTGTGTGTTCTGATTTCGCTCTATAGCCTCGAAGGGCCAGGGTCGACGACAAAAGCGATGCAGGTGTCGCCTGAAACCCAAGAAAAGGAAGTTCCCGGAAAGTATGGGTTGAAGTTCTTCCACGTTCTCGAGTTGGTCATGGTGAGTTTAATCATAAGT